ACCTTCCGCTGCTCGTACGTCTGGGGGCACGGCAGGGCACGAGTGGGCACAGGTGTGCACAGGTATGTGCGCCCCAGAGCCCCCGAGACCCCCGGGGTGAGCAGGGTGGGATGTGTGAGTGGGTATGCAAGGTTTGTACAGGTGTGTGCACCCCCAGAGCCCCCAGGTGTGCAGGGGTGAGGATGAGGATGTGGGTGAGGGTGGGATGGGGTGTGAGTGGGTGTGCAAGGGGTGCAGGGGTGTGAGAGGATGTGTAGAGGTGTGCACAGGTGTGTGCAGAGGTGTCTTGTGCACTGCACAGGTGAGCAGAGGTGTGTGCAGAGGTGTCTCACGGTGAGCAGAGGTGTGTGCAGAGGTGTCCAAAGGTGTGCACAGGTATGTGCAGAGGTGTCTAAAGGTGCACACAGGTGAGCAGAGGTGTGTGCAGAGGTGTCTAAAAGTGTGCACAGGTGAGCAGAGGCATGTGCATATGTGTCCAAAGGTGTGCACAGATGTGTGCAGAGGTGTCTAAAGGTGTGCACGGGAGAGCACAGGTGTGAGCAGAGGTGTCCAAAGGTGTGCACAGGTGAGCAGAGGTGTGTGCAGAGGTGTCTCAAGGTGAGCAGAGGTGTGTGCAGAGGTTTGTGAGGGCCACGCACCCACTCCTGGCCGTAGGAGTCCTCCAGGTCGTTGGTGGACCTGTCGTCCCAGGCCAGGCGGATCCCCAGCAGCGTTCCCGGCAGGAATCCGTTCTCCGCCAGGATCACGAAGTAGGTGAAGAACCCCCCGAGGGCCTGGATCATCCCTGGGGGAACGGGACATGGATCAGCACCAGGGATGGTGTCCCTGGACCCACCTGGACCCACTGTGACCCCCACACCGATCTGTCTGCAGGCTGTGCTGACCCACAGACTCCCCAGACCCTCCCAGGATCCTCCAGACCCCCCAGACCCCCATACCAATCTGCCCGTAGGCCATGCTGATGAGCCTCTCGTTGACCAGTTTGTCTGTTCGGGGGTTCCTCGGTTGCCGTTTCATGATGTCACTCTCAGCTGCCTCATAGGCCAGAGAGATGGCAGGAACCTGGGGGGACACCAGTGTTACCCCCTGGCACATCCTGAGCACATCTGGGGGCCTCTGGGGTGGGTTTAGGGGTCCCCCTCGGTGCCCAGGT